ATAAAATATCATGATTTAGCCCCACGAATAAGTATAAAAATTCCACTTATCACACCCTCGAACTTAATGCAATGATAATTACTTAATTGGTGGTTAGTCAATCAAGCAAAGTAAAAAGATTTAGCTAGTTAACCTGACTTTTTAACTCAGCATTGAAATTATAATATTAAATCTAATCACAACTTCTAAATCACAACACAAAAATTAAAATCTACTTTTCAAATATAAAATCGACACATATGTGAAGAATTAAGTATCGCATTATGAGTTTATAAGTTTTTTTCAATTCCATGACTCTCAATTGTCAAATATATTTTTCATCATTCTTAGGATTCACCCACCCCCAAATTTATTTTTTTACTATTTTCAAGTATGTGAACTAAAGTTGAATTTTATATTATCATCACCTCTCTAGTTTAGGTAAATTCACTAATTGTTAATCAATATGTCAGTAAATAAGGATTTTCCAAAATTTGATTGCTTAAATCTCTAGCACTTGACTCAGCTAATAATCCCTTATCAAAAGTCAATTTTTCTCAAATAAGTGTTTTAGATATAATTAAGGCATTTGATGCTTCTTTTGTTTCATACACTTACTTTTTCTGATTTTCTAATTATTATTTTTTCAACTTTTTTTTTTTTTGCCTTTATTTGAAGCATTCAAACCATTAAACTTTCTAAACAACCCATGTAACAAGCTTTTAACCAATAACTCTCAAGTTAGATGACCATAGGGCATCAGGTTTTAGAACCAATGCATGTTTAATTGCTCGAGTCATAAAGGTTACGAAAAGAAATTTTCAAGTAAAAAAATTATTTTATACCTTGATTAGTGCTATGTCCCTAATTGAACACCAATTAAAGAAAAATAACCTCTAATTTGAGATTTTAACTCAATTTCGTCATATTGACCTTAGATAATCCACAAAAGATTTTTTTTTCACACATGAAATCCAAGTTTATCTCAATATCTTCCAATAACAGTGAAATTGAGGTATATGGAGTTAGGGAGGAAAAGTTTAATGACGGAGGATTGGTTCAAGGTTACTGAGAAGATATTGGAGATGAGTGGAGTTGAGAGAACAGATGGAGTGTAGGAGCCAGTTGGACGTGTTTAAGAACAGGTATAAGAAAGAGACGGTCAAAGTGGAAAGTGGGCAAGCGAGCAAATGCAGGAGCGGATCCAGCACCTGGCCAGCCCCACGGCCGTCCCTGCTAGGTCCGCCGGGACCTTGAAGTCCGTCGGGAAGGCAGCAACTGGCAATCAGAATTTTTTTTTTCTTTGTGAACCTTCATTTGTTGATTTCTATATTGAGTGGATATGTTGGCCAGTATTCAAGAGACAAGAATTTTCACGAAACAATCGGAGAAAAGTGTTATTCTTGCTTTGTGAAAAGGAAGAATTATTCATCAGATAATGGAGTTTTTGCCAATATGGAATTGGAAATTCAGAGTATTAAGAGAGTGGTAAAAAGTCGAGAGATAAATAAGAAATCATTGAAGAATTCTGTTAGGTTGTTGAAAATTGTAGCATCCTTGAATTCCAAAACCTCAAGAGATGGTTCAACTTGTGGAACACCCAATTCATATCTCTTAGCATGTGCACAACTTTACTTATCAATTGTTTACAAGATTGCGAAAAATGATAGAAATTC